GACAACATGCCATTAATTCTTCTGAAAATGCGTTTATTTGGGTTATCTGAAGGAAAATTTCGAGTCAAGTGGCGTATTAATTTTGCCTTCATTTTTGTGAATTTCAATTTCTGTCGGCAGAGAGAGGGGGTAGTGTCACAATTGACCAATTATTTCAAAAAGTAGATGTTTGATGTAAGGGGTTCATGGTACACCAATTACACACTATTGAGTTTAGTGTCAAAATGTAGCTTAGACATAGCTTTAGCACCTCAGATAGGCCAGTGAGGGCACATAAATCCATTACTCGAGATAAAAAGTCAGGTGTTTGCCCTTTTGCCCATTGACTGGTATGGTGACGTGAATTAGGGCTGTTTTGCCTATTAGTCACATGTGAAAGTGACCCAAAATTTTTAGAACTTCCCAAAATCGCCCAGAATTTAACTTTATCAGTGTGAAACATATTCTAGGCGGAGGCAAAAAGGGAAATTTTTATGAACAAATTTAATGTTTTTGCTGAATCAGCAGTTTTCGCTTTTTACCCCAAAAAACATTGATTTTGACGATATTTGGCTACAATTTCGTCCTTATTGACCCAGTTAAGTGTCAATTTTTGATGATATATTTGTCCACTCTGAATGACTAAATTCGAGCTAAAACTATTTCAAGTCCCAAATTCTCTAGGCCAGAGTCAAAACTGATATTTGTCATCATTTTTCAAATCAGGAGGTTGTTGAATGGAATAAAATATCAAAAAATTGATAATTTTAGTAAAATTTTGCCTATTAGTAGGCCAAATTTGCCCAATTTTCTGGTTCACAGTTCAGTGATTTTGGCTCAAAATCGCAATATGCAATAAAATACTCAATTTCTTGACACGATATTGTAAAATGTCACCACCAGGCAGTAGATTGCATGATGTAAATGAAAAACTAGTCAATTTAAAGGAAAAGTATTGGGTTCTTGGGAAAATGACCACAGGGTTAATAAAGTAGCCATATTTTTCATGATTGCAGGAGAAAACGATGATTGAAAAGTGAGAAAATATTCCGGAAGAAAAGGTCGCGTGATCAGTTGACTAGTCGCCATATTGGAAAAAATAATTTCATTGAGTTTCAACGGTTCTTGTGTCATGCTCACCTCCATGAATTCGAAAAATGCAAATACAAGTGTATTATTCGTATCACCCACACGGGAAATTTGAAATGTAAATACGAGTGAATTATTCATATCACCTACATGCCATTCTCACAAACAGTGACATTTAAATTGAAGGCCTTGATAAATTCTCAGGTGTAGAAATCCTGATCTTACTCCATCTCAATGCTTGATGTATCCATAAAAGGTGAGCACATGTTGTCATTTCATCAAAATACATATACACACTACCCTATCACGTGACCACGTTTAAAAGGGAAACAGGGTACAGTTAAGTTGCAAATGGAGGACGTGGGTTTAATTCCATATTTCTGAACGTAAAATACATTTTACAACTAGTGTTCTACCAGACATAAAATAGATTCATCAAGCAGTTTGTAGAATATTGTTGGCAAAAAACCATATAGGTAAAGATAGATAATAGTGGGCGCAGTGAAGCAAAACACGAAAGCAATACAAGATACGTTTCAGTAAATCTATTAACGTACAGGGAGCGTGTAAGTTTCACTTCGAAAATGTTACTTATTTTGACATTGGTATGTAACAAAAAACAGTTAACTGTTATTTAAACTGCGTGTCATTGTGTTATATGGAGATATGTTTTCTAGTATGTTATTCACATTCCTTGTACCCTGTATTGATCAACTTTCACGGGTAGTATCCAAAGCCCCGCTATGATTTAGAAGTCGCGAGCAAGTTCCCGTTGAAATCACGAGCAAAGTCAGTTTTATAGGTTTAACAATACCAACATTATTGAAATCAGACAAGTACTGGTAAAAACGTATAAGGAGGGGGTAAAAATGACCTTGCGACCCAAACCCCATCACAGGGCTGTTTAATATAGGAACACTCTATGTTTACCATCAAACTAATATCAAACCTTATTAATATATCAGTGGAGTTTATTACATGCCCGGTGGGGGGGGGGGTACTGGTCAAAATTTTGTACAGGGGTGCCGCTGAGACTCAAAATATCTACCAACATCTAGATTTTTTCTCTAAAAAATGGACCCACATCTAGGGTTTTTCTTTCAAAAATAGACCCACTTCAAGGTTATTCTTAAAAAAAGACCCACTTCCGTTTTTTTTTTCAAAAACAGTACCCAGTTTTAGGATTTTTCAAAAAGTAGACCCAGTTCTAGGGATTTTTTCATCAAAATATGACCCATATCTAGGTTTTTTTCTTCAAAATCGATCGGACCCACATCTAGGTATTTTTCGGCGAAAAAGTGACCCACTTTAGCGGCACGTCCCCACTTAGCAAATATATGGGAGTACTCCTCCCCGGGTAGCATTCGGAGCAGGATAAACTGCAGCTAACTATAGGTACATGTAGAAGTTTTAGTACATGTTATATTTGTACAAGTTATCAGAGCTGTTAAGTGTCCCGCGAATGGCGGGATTATCCCGCAATTTGATCAAAATTAGGCCTTTTGAGGAGTAAAGTTTATCGCAATGTCCCGCGAAGTCTCGCAAATGTCGGCTTTGACCTCCGCGAATTTCCAAAATTATTGCAATCCCCTATATTGTGATTATCTTATCTTATATACAGTAAGTTTTTTTGCACTTTTGAGGAGTAAAGTTTACCTAATAAATTTTAAGTACCTAGCATGCCTTTGTTTGGTATCAAAATAAAGAGGAAGATTTCAACTTTCATTTTAATTACAAAAATAGGGATGTAGGTCACAAATAGTTCCAACGTTGGCCTTTTTACTACGCGTGTGGCTTTCATCTCAGAACTGAGCAATTATAAACGCGAGTTACAATAAACGGACGCTGATATCTTGAAAAGTAACCCGACTCCCTATAATTTGATGTAGATTAATCGAACCCCTATACCATGGTCTTTCGATTTCGATTATAAATTTGAATATATAACACTATGGGGGTAAGCGTTTCATAGTTGGTTACGAATGCCATAAGTGCAAAGTATTGTTCAGAATTTTTGTAATTTCGTGTTAGAATACGGTACTCACACCTGAAGCATGGTTTTTGTTTTTGATAAATTACAATAAAGTTTTATAATATTCCTATGCATATTGTTTGAAATTGTGTTGACGTTCATTTAAGTTAAGCTACAATGTAAGTGCATTATATTTGATTAATCAGTTTCTGGAAGTTTGATTTGAGTACTTTTACAGTCTCAATCACGAAAATCCCTCTAATGTCCCGGGATATCGCGCAAATTTAGGTGAATCGTCCCGCGAAATTTAGGGCGCTTTGTCTAAAATCTGTCCTTCTATGAATTCTTTGGTGGTTACCCTGTTAACTCTCCCGCAATTAGGGTGTTTGTTCCTCGAATGGTCCCGCGAAATCCCGCGGTTTTGATAAAAATAAATTGGCCTATTAGTACAATCACGCAAATCCCTCAAATGTCCCGCGAAATCCCGCGAATTTAGTGGATGTCCCGCAAAATCTCGCGAATTTTGGGCACTGGGTCTAAAAAATCTGTCCCACGAGAAAATCTTTGGGGGTTGACAGTACTGAGTTATATTTAAATCTTTCTTAAATCCATTCCAAGATTTGCCTCAATTCTCTTCAGGTAACGGTATACATGTATTTTCTTAACGTTGTACATGTCTCATGTCGAAATTAACACGATCTCTTACAGTCTTACAATCTCCCAAACTCTGGTGTTCATCATTCGTGTATGCAAAGCGCACTTCGTTGCATCATTTGGGAAGGCGTGGCTTACCACCATGGGAGTTATTTTTGTTTTTGAAGACGGAAGAATATAACAATATCAATTTACTGCAGTATATTTATTTAATTATTTTTTGTATATTAAAATACATTTTAAAATACATTATTTTGTAAAACAATCTATCACAGCTGCCAATAAAGAGTTTTCTATCAATATTTAATGGTCATTTGGGGTCAAGGTCGCATAACTATAATTAGGGGACACAATTGATTACAAAGGATTGGTAACAATATAATTATAAATATATAATATATACGATCAATTGATCGATCGTCTATAAAAATTATATTATTATAAGTAAATATATAGACGTTTCTCTTTATTGTTTTAGAAAACACATCAAACACTTCTTTTGTTCTTGGTATCATATGTTCGGAATGGAATGGAACATCTATCCGAACCTCATATATTGAAACAAAATGACATAAACACGACGTGTTTAGGTCTCAATATTGTAATTATACAAAGGAAAGTTTGGTTGATTGAAAAAAGTATCTTGAAATAAAAGGGATATCTTAATTTTTTTCTATTTTTTGTTTAAACAGAATTTCCTTTGTATAACTTTAATATTGTGAGGTCTAATAAAATGTTGTATATGCAATTTTGTTCCAACAAGCTTCGAAAAGATATGTTATTTCATTTTCAACAATTGGTAAAAAGGAAAAAAAACAACTGCATTAAAAAAGAAAAAAATGTTACAAAAACAGTTATATAAAATATATATATAAATATTTTCGCATTGAATTGATGTCGATCAGTCAACATTACATAAAAGATCCTGTTTTTACAGAATATCGATACCAATTCTTTATCAACACGATCGGATAGACCAGCGGATTTTAATTGTTGAAGGTTTTGCCGAAATCCTTAGTATTTTCATACATTTGAATGAAAGGGGCGGAATCATAAATGGGATAACTCTATTGTGCCTTGTCTCATTATTTCTTTATTTAATAATACATTTATATGTTCACATAGAGACACCATTCTATAGAATTGCAACTTTATTTGAGATTCAATAATTAGATTAGATTACAAAAATATCACACTTTAAAATTGGAATTGAAGTTATAGTAAACCTCATTATTATAGAGGTCACTAGTAGGTAGTACAATTTGTACATTTGATATTTTCTGAGTTGAGCACAGAGAGTCTTTTTGGCAATTAATTGTACTGTTAAAAACGTTCCTAATGTTGAAGGTTTAATGTCCACACAAATTCACTTTGGAGAATGGAGTATTTAGTATTCTTCTCCTTCCTCTTCTCATTCTCCATCAACGGAATCAACTCCGACCTCTTCGTAGTCTTTCTCCAGGGCAGCCAGATCCTTACGGGCCTCGGAGAACTCTCCCTCATCCATACCCTCTCCGGTGTACCAATGGAGGAAAGCACGCTTGGCGTACATGAGATCGAACTTGTGGTCAAGACGAGCCCAGGCCTCAGCGATGGCGGTGGTGTTGCAAACGGCACGTTGGACCTTGGGGAGATCACCTTTAAGGAATATAACCCAAAAATGACCACTAGTCGAGCTTATTGTCAAACAGCAATATCTCAATACATAAGTAGTTATGGATGTATTTGAAAAATCAACCCCATACCAATGGAGGTATAGGGAGGTATAGGGATGGAACGGTTCTTTGGTTTAAATTCCCAGTCCATCATACAGGGTGTTCTTAAAGTAACAGGACTGGTGCTGGCATTTTGTCAACTTTGCACCGAGTGTATTCATATTTTTATAAATTGTACTTTGAAGTATTGCCACTAAAATTGTAAAGTTTAAGAAAATATGATGAAATGTGGCTAGAGTTATGGTTACTGTATAGTAACATGACATCACTATACCCGGGGCAACTTTTTTCCTGAAAATGTGATATCTAATATTTTTGTATTACTGAAGAAAGTACAGTATCTAATTCACCTATTATAATACAACATTTCTTTTTTATTTTATTAGTCATGCTTTGTTGTAAAGGTGTTTCATAATAATAATATTTATTCAATTTCCTGGAATATCACTTCGTATAACAGTCTGAACAATTTACGGTTGAGTTTTTGAAGCATTTGAAGCCAGTCTGTCCGCAGGTCACCATTAAAGACCATGCAGCTATAGAGGAGCTAGGTCTTGCGGTCTAAAACCATGCACCATACTCTTCTGATCATACAATATCTAACTTTTACTTACACTGAGAACGGAATGCTAATCAGTGCTGTAAGACCTTAAACGATGAGAATGACCTTCTCTAAATTGTTCAATCGGATCTGTATGACATGTCCTCAAATGGGTTCACTCATGTGTTTGGGTCATGGATACAGAGTACTACCCTTGTACTGACCAAGAGGAACCTATTACAGTGGTAGTAGTGGATACATAGGAATATCAAATGATGTAAAACAAATGTAATTCCCACCAGTTGTTGCATTTCAACTTTGATATGGGATGTACAAAATGCTTAATGTCTCTGTAACTTTCTGCGTGGAACGTTGCCCCGGGTATTGCGATGTCATGTTACTTTAGCCACCATAACTCTACCCGAGTTTCCTATATTTTGTCGAAACTTTGCAGTTTTAGTAACGATACATGAAAGTACATTATGTAAATTTTGAAGACGATTGGTGCATATTTAACAAAATGCCAGCACCAGTCCTGTTACTTTTGGAACACCCTGTATATCCGTAGATCGGCATGAACTTGATGTAAGACCAAACGAAAGTAAAATCTTATAGCATGCGTAATGCATATGTAGATTAAGGGATGTCAACTTGAGGTGAACTTTCATTCTGGATGCATACATTTGGTAAATTCATGCTGTCATTACTCTTTCGTAAATAAGTTAAATATATGTAACTCGTAGTCTAGCTATATTATATTCCCCTGTGACCCCCAAAGCTATGTGTGAGAAGGTGTGTAGTCAAGTAGACGAGGGGATGGGAGGGTCACAGTGGCGATGTGCTAGACGATGTAATTCGAAACAAAATTCGGAGAATATTCACAGCCTCAGTAGGCCATAAGGATATCGGGCCTCTCTAGGATGTATTATGACAAGAGATGTATGACAAGATGATTTCTATACATCTGGTGATCACATGTGGCTGTCAGATATTAAAGGATAAGAGAATGGTGCAGAAATATATATCCTGTCTTCAAGATATATATCGGATATATATCCCCAATACAGGGTTTGTTGAATCAGTTCTTAAAATTATTCATGACGATATACACGATATATTCGATATATATCCTATTTTCAAGATATAGAACGATATACACACGATATATACACTATATTCGATATACATATCCTGTCCTCAAGATATATAGAGATTATCCTATATGAGGTTCAGGATATTGGGATTATCCCGAGGCTAATATAATATATTTGATCGAGGGCCGCAGGTCCCGAGGGAAAATATATTATATTGGCCAAGGGATAATCCCAATATCCTGAACCGACTATAGGATAATATGTTTATCCCATACCAGTCTTGGTCATCTGGGTCTCATTGTTCAATCGTGGAAATATTTTAGAATATTCATGTCCAGTTTTGTTTTCTTGGCCATGGGCGGACTTTCCTGTTCTCTTAAATATTCCCACATTTATTTTCTCGAATTTTTTGATTGATTAAGTGGATGCTCCTTCCCTTTTTTAAACCATCAAACAGATCCCGATAGTCTGTGTTTTCTCCATTGTCGTTTACAGTCATTACGCGAACGTTACAAATTATGAAGAAATATGCGAGCGGCGATAATGACGTAGCGGGCAGATATACTATATCTGCCCGCTCGGAGCGGGACGTAAAGCTATATCTGCCCGCTGATGAAAATATAAGATTTTACAAACCGGCTTTATGTACCTGTAACACGTCCAAGTATGGGATAAATATCGGATATATATCCCCAATACAGGGTTTGTTGAATCAGTTCTTAAAATTATACACGACGATATACACGATATACACGATATATTCGATATATATCCTCTTTTTTTCAAGACATAGAGCGATATACACAAGATATATACGCTATATTCGATATATATCTTCTTTTCAAGATATAGAGTGATATACTAACGATACACACGATATATTTGACATATATCCTCTTTTCAAGAGATAGAGCGATATACTAATGATATATATGCTATATTCAATATGTATATCATGTGCTCGAGATACATATCGGTTATACATCCCCAATCCAGAGTTTGTTAAATCAGTTCTGACATTTATCCATGATGATATACACAATATACTTGATATATATCCTCTTTCCAATATATAGAGCGATATACACACAATACATACATACGCTATATTCGATATATAGCATGTGCTCAAGATATATATCGGATATATATCCCCAATATAGAGTTTGTTGAATTAGTTCTGACATTTGATCCATGGCGATATACACAATATACACGATATATTCGATATTTATTCTCTTTCCAAGATATAAATTAGTTATTTACCAGGAGTGATTTGATATGGGAATATCATAATGATGATATCAACATTTCCTGAGGGAACGAAGTGACCGAGGGAAATATCGATATCATCCGAGGGATATTACCCATATCATCCCGACAGGTGAATAACGACTTTATACCATGGTCAAGAGCAACATCTACCCAAAATCTTCTGTTGAATGAGAGAAAAAAGGATTGAATCTTAGAAATATTTACGTTACATACACTCCCCTTCATAAGTTTGGCAACCTTAGCTCCCTCATTGCACTAAGTGTTTATGTTTGAATTTATATTTCCATTACCTGCGAGGAAAATACTTATAATATTGATGGGAATGTAATTTAATTCATTTCCAATGCCTCCAAATGTTCCCAATTTTTTTCCTTAATTGCAATAGGTCGAAAATTGATGATAAATCTGATGAATTTCTGAAAATCGACATTCCCATGTAAACTAATGGGAAATGGTAAGTTTGCCTCAAGTCAAGTTAGGTGGTCAATTGAATTTGCTTACAATGTTTAATAAAAATTTGATACGTTTCTACAGGTTTTAAAAAGTTATAGGTCTTCAAAGTCAAATCTTTTTTTTAAAAACTCCTCCAATTGAAACAACACAGGGGGCGAAAAATGATTTTCGAAAATGACTTTCAAGCTCTGTTACGTAAGTATTCATAAAGTAAACTGAACACTTAGTCGTAGACAATTCAATTTTCTATATAAAAATATTTTTAGGTGAATCTTTTACTGGTTAGATATCCTGAAATCAGATTTGCCCCGAACCCACCATTTCCCATTTGTTTACATGGGAATGACGATTTTCAGAAATTCATAACGTTTATCATCAATTTTCGACCTATTGTCTGATTGTAATTGAGGAAAAAATTGGGAAACCTTGGAGGCATTGGAAATGAAGTCAAGTTACATTCCCATCAATACAATAAGTATTTTCCTCACAGGTTATGTAATCAAAATTCAAACATAAAGAGGCTTTAACATGTCGTTCAATGAGGGGGTTAGGATTGCAAACCTATGGAGGGGAGTGTATATCACACTCCAAAGTACATTGTGAAATTAAGTATGAAGGCAAGAAAAACACAATACTTAAAGAAATTAAAATATGAAGATTATTTTAATCAAAAAATAACAGTATTTATAAAACTCATTTTTGGAAAAAAATTAAATTTTGGGAAAAAAATTAAATGAACACAAATAAAGAATTCTTTGAAAAAGTGCCTAGTCCCCTTTCTAACTTTATTTGCATTGCCATGTAATCATCAGCAATAGATTCCACTATGTGGATAAGATAAAACAGCAGTTGATTTAATATTAACAAACATACTCTGAATAAGTTTTCTAAAATGTTTTCATGGTGATTCCTCCCAATTTCATGAAAATAATATGCGTTTTGTCTCATGGGGTGTCTTACATTTTGCCGAAAATGTGTACTTTTTTAACATATGATCTCCGTTTCCATAGCAACCAGTTGATCGACTTTAATGAAACTTGTCATAATGGTAGGACATGATAAGTACTTAGATGATTACCTGTAAATATCAAGATGATTGGTTATATATTCTAGGAATTATATATGGCTTTCATAGTACCCCCCTTAAAATTACACCAGGGGGTATAAATCTGCATATTTCCAAAACGCTGAAAAACTAGACACCAGTGGTTTCAGAATCAACGTAGAATAATAAATTACAAATAACCTACATGAAGAGAAATTTGCCATTTTTCAAAACCATTTTTAAATACGCTCATCCAGTAAAGACTTTACTTCATCATCTAGCTTAGACATATTTTATTTTGCTCGTACAGTACTAGGTTTTTATTTTATTAAGCAAAATGTAACGGTTAAAAATAGTAATTGCTTCACAAAAAACGTTGTAGAAACAAACGCTTTGATAAAACAAATACAATATGTTAGGATGTCAAGATCCACCTCATTCTAAGAAATTCCATGATGATTACCAATACCTGGGTCACATTTGCCCCGATCCATCGGCCGGCGCCCGGCCGATTGAGTGTTTTGCTCAATATTGTATTCAATTTTGAACAAAATACTCAATCGGCTGGGCGCCGTAGTGAAAATCGGAGCATATGTGACCAAGGCATTACAGAATAAAAAAGTTACCAACTTCTTAAAGCTCTCCTT